AGTATATTCTTTCCATCTTCTTTTAATACTTCCTGGATCATTTAATATTCTGCCTAAAGCATCCTTGATTATAGCAACTCGAGGTTTGAATCTGTTCTTCAGTTCCTTGAGCTTAAGAAGTTGAGGTTAATTTAAATATGTATTTTTTTATGGCATTAGATCTTATTTTTTTTCTTGCTAGATAGTACCACCATGTATCAATTAGTGATCTAACTTTTTAAATTGCCCATTTTCCAGTTGTTTGATGGGTAATAATATTTGTTCCAGTATTCATTTTATACTTAGTTTCACTTCAGAAGAATATTATTCTATGCTCTTTCATCTTGTATGACTCATTATTTCTTTGTTCCAGGGTGGAGACAACGATGAGGACATTTTAATTACTGCCTATATTGTTGGAGCACTTCTTGAGTCTGGCCTGAATTTCAGTGTATGTATTCTCATCAGCATTTGGTTTCAGTTGGTGAAATGCACATTCAATAGATTATGTATTAAAAGTCATTTGAAGTTCCTAGACTGTGTGAAACAGTAAATAATTCAAAGTTTTTGACACTATTAACTTTTTCCCTAGAAATATTATACATGTAGGGAGCTCTGGTTGCTGGGTGGTAAAGCGTTGCAAGATCAACCCCAAAACAAACTATTCAGATCCACCAATTGCTTCTTGGAGAAAAATGAGCAATCTCTTCCAATTACAGCCTCTGAAAACCTGTAAGAGAATCGACTATAAGTTGGTTCTAACTTAATGTCATATAAAAACAATACAATTTTTTTTCATACAAATTGTTTACATATCTTTTGAAGTTCAGCAATAGATTGAGATGAAGAATCTGTTTTAAACATAAAGAGGGAGAGAAACTTGATGGTATAGTGATATAGATTAGGCTATAACTTAAAGTCATCAGTAAGTCCACAAAAGGACGATGAGGCAGTCTCCTCCCTTAAAATTGTCCTCCTTGTAGTGACACATGAATCTGGATCTACTAGGGAGCAGTGAGTGCTCTAAATATAACTGTAATCAAGTGTTCTGTTTTTCTTATAAATGTGGTATACAAACATTTTCAATTTGAATGTGGTTCTTCGTATGTACCACCCAATAGCTAGCCCAGCTCTTTTGATTCCAAAATCTAATCCTAAACTAAGATACTAGAAATGTTCTGAATCATCAGTATATATCATCAAAAATCATCTTTAGCAGCTTTTCTACAAAAAGATGTTTATATTACTAAAATGTTACTAACCAAATACAGAACATCCTATTTGATTACAATTTCAATGTTATTTTAATAATGCAATTCCAAATTTATTTAAACAATAGTCCTGAGCTTTTACTACATACATATGTGTATGAGCAGGCTAGTGTGTGAAATGCACTTCAAGGATTTACTACTACATACCTTGCTAGGAATGAACATTTAGACTTTAAGAAAATATACAAAGTGTTAAAATATTATTTTACAGCAAACTGTTCTTCTAAAATATTTTCATCTTTTTCTAACTAGTTTCCTGTTCTACGAAATGGCCTTTTTTGCCTAGAAGATGCATTGGGAAGTGGTGTCACGAATGGCTATACTCATGCAATTCTAGCTTATGTTTTTGCATTAGCTGGAAAAGAGAAGCAAGCGGAATCTTTACTCCAGATCTTGGATCAGTCTGCAACAAAAATACGTAAGAATAATTTATTTTTGCTGACGAGAGCAAAGTCATGGAACTTACTCAGTAATCATGTAGGAACCCCCCCTTCAACAGTATGCTTTTTCTCTTTATTTATGGAATTCCTCAATGTCCTTTGTCTTCTTTAACCTAGTGATGTTACAATTTAAAAAATTGATCAGGATGTGTCTTTAAAGATAATGATTTTTTTTTTGTCTCATAATTTTCTAGTCTATAAATCCAAAGCAATGCACTGGCAATTAGAGAAGAGTTTTTCCTTCATAGTAGCCCTGAGGGATCTTTGATATTCCTTGACTGCTTATCTTCCACATGGCATCTGTCTTTCTCCAGTGTGTACCTCTCTGTTGTCCATTTTCCTTTTTTATAAGATGCCACTTTGAAGAGATAAGATTCAGTCCGCCTCTACTCTGGTAGAGCTTTATTAATAGAACAAAAGAAAACCTTGTTTCTTGCCAGGGTCAGGTTTAAAATTACAGAAACCTGGACTTCTGGGATTTTTTTTTTTCGGGGTGGATATAATCAACAATAACATATTGTCTTTAAAGATTATTCATATTTCCTATTTATCTTTTTTATTTTTTATTATTTTTTTAATTTTCTGCTGAGGCGGGGTTGATGGGTTTTTTTGTCCCCCAAATGAGAAAGGAGATCAAATATGATGATCAAATATACCATAGTCAATAAAAGTGCTTCCAAAGATCAACCACATACCAACTCTGTGCCATTGAGTTGAGAGTCTTCAGGAGCAGTAAATTCCATGGAAGAAGATTGACCATCTTTTTTCTGCAGAGCAACCAGTGGTACACTTGAACCATATGCCTTTGAGTTGGCAGTGCAGTTCCTTACCACTAGACCATCAGAGCTCCCTTGTTTAGCTCTTATTTTTATGTTGTTATGTACCTTTGAAACAGAACCAACTCACAGCTGATCCTCTTTTGGGTTTTCAGAAGCATTAAATCACACTGGAGAATATATATATATATTTTTTTAATCCTCAGAATTTGCTATGTGAGGACAAGAATGGAATTAGATTTCTTTTTGTTTGTAATTAATACTCTTTATTGGAATTGTGTAAAACTCCTACCTTCTCTTCTCAGATAACGTTATATACTGGGAGCGAGCAAAGAAGCCAAAGGCAGAAGAATCCCCATCTTTCCTTCCTCGGGCACCTTCTGCTGAGAATGAGAAAACCTGTTATGTGCTATTGGCTGTCATTTCTCAGAAAACTCCTGACCTCACTTATGCTAGTAAGATTGTGCAATGGCTCACCCAGCAGATGAATTCCCACGGAGGCTTCTCTTCCACCCAGGTGATCGATGTGTACCTGAGATTAATAATAATATGTATAATGTAGAATGTATGTACTAATGTATATGAACTTCAATAGTGAAGATAATAGAAAAATACCTTCTGAGGGGTAAGATACTTAATATTATAAATACCATTTTATTTAATCGCTATTTATTAGGCATTTATTTTGAAGAAGACTTGAAGCACTTACTGATAGAAATCAAAGACTATAGCCTTCAATAGATTATTTGTAATTTGCAAAGGTAACTTCTTGGTTGACATGCAGTTTAATCATAGCATCATCACATATCTGAACATGAAGAAAAAATAAATCCTCACAATTGGGCCAGTGGGCAACAACAGCATGATAAATAGGAAAATTATTGAAGTTGTCAGGGGTTTAATTTTATTTGTACCTACAACCAATGCCCATAGAAACATCAGGAAAATAGGCTGCCAAAAGCCTCTTTAAAGTGTTTAAAAGCAAAGCTGTTTGAGAACTAAGATATGCTTGAATCAATTCGTGATATTTTTCAAATGTATGCAAAAGCAGGATAAATAAATAAGACCAAAGGAAAAACAGTGCCTTTGAGTTGCTGTGTTGGCAAAGATTGTTAAACGTACCTTGGACTGATAGACTGAACAAATATGTCTTTGAAGAAGTACAAATAAATTGCGTCACAGAAACAAGGTTCACAAAACTTTGTCTAAGTATTTTGGTTATGTCATTGTATGGGACAAGTCCCTGGAGAAAGATTTCATGCTTGGTAAAGCAAAGGGTCAGCAAAAATCAGGAAGAGTCTCTGTTTATATATTTCGTACATTGGGAGTTGTGCCAAACCAAAGGCTATGCCTCTCTAGCAGAGAAAGATGGAGAATCTCCCATACTGGTTACAGCCTCAGACATGCAATAGAGGATCAGTTATGAGGAAGTTCTAACTCAGTGCAACGAATGAGTGAGTGACATGTTGGAAAGCATTTGAATGAAATTTGTAATAGAATAAATTAGTCTGGTTTATGCTTTTCCTTCGGAAATGCAATTGCATTACTATGAAAATGATAGTCACTTTCTTCCTTATTTTTCAAGCTTAGTTTCTGAACGAAACCATGTTAATGAAAGTTCTTTACCTTCTTCTGATTTTTCTTTGTAGATAATGGGAAATTAATGCAACCCAAGGAATCTAGGAGATTACTGAATTATATAACACCTTACATTTTAGAACAGACTTGACACTATTTTCAACAGCAGAGATTATATATTAAGTATTTTAGACTTAATAATTAAAATGACTTTATACAGTAGTAACTTCTAAACACATGCAAATATATCTTTCCATTGTTCACAATATTGCTTGTTGGTGCTCTGTTGATTTGTCTTTGTGGTATATTTTTGTGGATTTAGTTAATGTTGATGCCTAAATGATGGCTAATAGAGCTGGAATCACTGCTTGTATTGTTCTGTTCAGGACACTGCCGTCTGTCTTCTGGCCATAACCAGCTATATGAAGCTCACGTTCTCTAATGAACAAAGCACTATCACCTTTAGAGGTGAAGAAACCAATGAGATCTTCCAGGTTAACAACGACAATCGCTTGCTGGTCCAGCGCTCAGAACTAACAAAAGCACAGGGACAGTATACAGTTGACATGGAAGGACAAGGCTGCACATTTGTCCAGGTAATGTAACTCTGCCTGAGAGGAAAATGAATGTTTCCAGTAAAAGGCAGACTATCCATTTAGTTTTTTGGTTTTGTGGGAGTTTTTTTGCTTTTTTTTTTTAGAATTGTGATAAGTGAATTTGGAAAATATATTGGGTTTCAGATCAATCATTCATACGTATTTTGTTTTATACTATCAATGACCCAAATTGTCCGATCCTCTATGATTCTTGACGTTGCTTTCACCTATCTTAACAAGGGTTTGTTGTTGTGTGCTGTCGGGGCAAAACCAGCCCACAGCTGACTTTCCAGTGGATTTTCAGAGTCACTTAATTATATCGGAGGAGATAGCCCATCCTTCTCCCACCGAGCAGTTGGTGAATATGAATCATGTGCCTTTGGAATTTCAACTCAGCTTCTTGGCACTAGGCTACCAGAGTTACCTTAATGAGGGTTTGTTGTTGTTGTTTACCATCAATTCAGAAATGACCCGTAGTTGACCATCCAGGCAGTTAATTGCACAGGAAAAGATTGCCCATCCTTCTTCCGTGGAGCAGCTAGTGGCCTCAAACCATGTACTTTTTGGATCGCAGAGCAGCTTCTAGCCAGTAGGCATCCACAACTTCCTAATAAAGGTTTTCTCTCTACTTATTAGGGAGCTCTGCTGGCTCAGGGTGAAGAAGCTGTGCTGCTGTGCTCGCTTCGGCAGCACATATACTAAAATTGGAACACTACAGAGAAGATTAGCATGGCCCCTGTGTAAGCATGACATGCAAATTTGGAAGTGTTCCACATTTTTAAGAACTCTAGAAGTCCTAATCCACAACATAAACAGTCTTCCAAGTATCCTGAAAAATCTACAACCAGGAGAGGATAAAATTGATGAATGGGACTTTTAAGAATCAAATCCCTATGCACATCCAAAAACTTCTCCAATAGGGTAAAAAGGGAAGCCACGGGCTGGGAAAAAGTATTTGGTAATTACATGTCAGATAAGGGACTTATATCTAGAATTTATAAATTACTTGAGAACCTCAACAAGATAAACAATCCAATTGAAAAATGGGCACAGGATATGAACAGACACTTCAACAAAGAAGACATTCAGATGGCCAACAAGCACATGAAGAAATGTTCAAAATCCCTACCTCTAAGAGAGATGCAAATTAAAACAACTATGAGATATCATCTAACCCCAGTAAGAATAGGAAAATTTAACAGAACAGCAAGAAATAAATGCTTGCAAGTTTGTGGAGAAACTGGAACCTTTATTCACTGTTGGTGAAAGTGTAAAATGGTGCAACCACTGTGGAAGGTTGTGTGGTGCTTTCTCAAAAAGTTGCAAATAGAGATAACATTTGACTCAGCAATTCCACTACTGGTAATATACCCCAAAGAGACCATATATGCCATCCAAGTAGATATATGCACACCCATGTTTATTGAGGCTTTATTCACAATAGCAAAGAGTTGGAAGCAACCTAAGTGCCCATCAACAAATGAATGGATAGAAAATATTCACACAATAAAATACTATGCTGCATTGAAAAACAAGGAACTCATGCAATATTATTCAAAATTGGTGACTCTGGATGACGTTATGTTGAGTGAAATATCTCAGTCACAGAAGGACAAATACTGCATTATGCCATTGTTGTAAAACAGGACTGACATCGGTTTTGGGAGGAGACTGAGAAAGATGGGATAAATAATGTGTACTGCAATGAAACAGATGAGGGAGAAAACTGTTTAAAAGGGAGATGTGATTGTGTATAGTTGTCATGACAGGAGTCAAGAATGAAGGCTGCATAGTGTGGGATGGACTTAGGGGCTGGGATTACATACCAATGAAAGAATTTTTCTTTTGCTTTTCAAAGAGACAAGTGAATTGGGGGGAGAGAAGGGTGGGCAGGGAGAAAAGTGCAACAATCAATGAATCGAAATCCTCAGTCTCTGTAAACTTTCATTAAAATTAATAATAATAAAAAAGAATAAAAGAAGAAGCTGTGCTGCTAATCCCAATGGTGAGCGGTTCAAATCTACCAGTTGCCCTGCAGGAGACAGATGGCGATCTCCACTTTGTGATCAACTCTCTTTGAAAATCTGTTAGAGGGTCAGCTATGACTTGTTCTGACTCAATGGCACCAGCAATAACAACATAATCTATTTACTATTTATTTTACTCACCTTTCCCTGGTAACTGCACTAGAATGATTCTGTGTCTAAACCTTGAAGTGTTATCTTGCTACTTTCTATATTATCATTAAATGTCACTCTTCTTCCCTCATTGATGTTATCTCATCAAAAAGACAAGTTATTTTATGAAGAAGTAGTCCCTAAATTATAGATGGATAATTTAATGGTTTCTTAAGGAATACAATACTGATAAAAAGCATTTGCATATTTTCATTAAATTATGTTGGTAATGATTCTTCTATCTTCTGAAGAATAGGTGTGTTAATAACAGAAAGTCCTCACTTGAAAACAATATATTCAAATTTTATAAATAGACTGGTAGAAAATGAAAATAAAAACAACCCAAAAACAAAGAATAACTCCTCAGTGTTCTGGTTTGTTTGGTTTTTAATTTTTTTTACTATAAAGAATTAAGTTCTCCTATTATTATTTTTATTTTTTTACTCTGTAGGCTACCCTTAGGTATAACATGTTGGTACCCAAGAAGGCATCTGGATTTGCCCTTTCCTTGGAAATGGTGAAGGGAAACTCTTCAGATGAATTCCAGATGAATTATAATTTAACTGTGACTTTCAAGTAAGAGCCACATTCCTCCCCCCACACCCTCAGGTTAGAGAGAAGGTACTGTATCAAAAAAATATTTTAAACAGTAGTAAAAGAATAATTTTGAATACTGGTAGTTATGTCAATGGAATTTACAAGGAAACTCTGGTAAATTAGTCCAAAGAAAGCTGGCATTGCTAACCCAAAGGTGGTACTTCTCTAAAGATTCCAATCCATTTGGCACCTCATCAGAAGAAAGGTGGGCAGTCTTCACATGACTTCCACTCTAGAAAACTTCAGGAGGGTCACCTATGAATTGATTCTGACTCTAAGGTGAGCTAAGTTATTGTTATGTGCCCTTGAGTCAGAACTGACTCAGCAGGCCTCCAACAAGTTTCCAGAGGCCGTAAATCACACAGGAGGAGATTGCCTATCTTTCTCCAATGGAGAAGCCAGCGATTCCAAACCACCTGTCTTTGCATTGGCAGTGTAACTCCTTACCACGAGGCTACCAAAACTAGATTTATGTAGGTCTAACTTGAAAGCTTCTGTTTCACTGATATTTCAGTAATATTTAGGCTTTCTTGTGAAGAAGCACTGGCAGTTTTGGACAATGGAAATTCTGTTTTTCTTCTGAAAAATAAATATAGGCGAGCCTATAATAGCACACTAATATCTGTATTTGAACTCTAAAAAGCAAAAATTTTATTTTTCACTTTTAGAGGAGAAAAATAATGTCCTTAAATAGAAATATATGTCTAAATTCCAAAGATCATTTTAATCAATATATGGAGAAATGTTGAGTAAAACTAACTTGGGAAATTTACTAGGATTTCTGAATGAAAGAGCAAACACATCGAAGAATTCTTAACTTCATGTCTCAGTAGCCCTACTCAGGGGAAAGGGCACACCATCAAGTCTCTCTTTGGGACATACCCATTGGAAAATTAACTTTATAATTTTAAAATAAATATCTCTTTTAAGAGTTGTTATGCAGATCTAAGACTAACATAAGTATATGTAATAAAAATCTATAACTTTTGTATTTAAATTTTGCCTTTGAAGGCTCAGATAAATCAGAAAATAGGAATTTAGGAAGAGACTGGTTTGTAATAATTATTTTTTGCTCTAACAATCTTACTTTGTATCATTTGACCTATTTCACTATGATACACCAATCCTTCATTGTGTGAGAACAATTTTCTTTAAATGTTTCTCCATCAGTGTTTGCCTTTCCTCTAGACTGCTGGACAGTTAATATATACAACCATGCAACCTACACTTAGAAAATGAGTGAGTTTTGTTTTTTGTTTGTTTTCATTTCAGCTACACTGGAATTCGCAAAAACTCCAATATGGTCATTGTTGATGTAAAAATGTTGTCAGGATTTTCTCCAGTCATGTCATCTCTTGAGGAGGTAAATAATTGTCCTGTAATTTAGGACAGAAAAATAATATAATAGCATAAACAAAAAAGTTGGTTAACAAAACTGAACCATAAAATTCTTCATTTTAGAAAATTTAGGGTTCATATTGTTGGGTTTTTTTTTATCATTCTGATGAGATTAAAAGCATTTAGGGTGTTGTAGAAGTAGACTGCTGTAATTCTGGAGAGATAATGTTTTATATCTCATAAAAAAGTCCAGAAGTAAAAATAAAAAGCTTGGTATTTTAAATTCTTAAGAAGTAGCACTACATTAACTCTAATGACTACAGTCGTTATTAAATCTTTTTATTTTCCTTAAAGCTTGAAAATAATGGACAAGTGATGAAGACTGAAGTCCAGAGCAGTCATGTTCTTTTCTACTTGGATAATGTAAGCTCAGAATCAATTTTCCTTTTTATTTCTTTTCCTCTGTGGTCAAAATGGGTATTTTTATTCTTCATACAAAAATAACTAGAACAGAACATTGATACTGAACTGCCAAAAAAGTTCAAATTTGATTTAGAAGAGGCTGTGGCAAGGATATCATTATTGATGTCAGATGGATCCTGGCTGAAAACGGAAGAATGTCTATTTGTTTTTTATTGTTTGTAAAAATGCACTTGACTGTGTGGATCATAATAAACTACAGCTAAAATAGATGCAAGCCAAAATCACAATGAGACACCACTTCACTCCCAATAGGATAGTTAAGATTAAAAACAACAGCAGCAGCAAAACTACAAGCTAAAAATGGCAACTGATGTGAAGCAAGGAAATGGGAACTCTTCTTTTATATAGTAGTCAAACAAAATTTTTTATATTTATTCATTGTTGCACATTTTCTCCCCCTTTCTTTCCTCATTCACCAACCCACCCTGCTATGTACCATTTTTCTAGATGGTTCTCATACATATAATGCATAATCATATATTCATTTCAGAACAGTTCTTCCACTTATCTATTCTAATGCAGTGTTAATTATCTATCCATTCATTCTCCATTCCCCCCAACCCCCCTAAGTCTGTCCTATTTTATAACAACAGTGTTATGCAGTGTTTATTATCCTTTTGTGACTGAGATATTTCACTCAGCATAATGTCCTTCCATTGCTGGTGGCAGTGCAAAATGGTATGATCGTTGTGATGGTTGGCAGTTCCTAAAAAAACCTGAAAAATTGAGTTGCCATATGCATATGACACAACCTTCCTTACTGAAAGTGAGGAGGACTTGAAACACTTGCTATAGAAGATCAAAGACTATAACCTTTAGTATAGATTGTATCTCAATATAGACTGTATCTCAACATCAGGAAAATAAAAATCTTATCTATTGGGCTGATAGGCAACATCATGATAGAGGGAGAACAGATTGAAATTCTCAATTATTTCCTTTTACTTGGATCCATAATCACACCCTTGGAACTAGCAGTCAAGAAATTAGAAGACATACTACTTTGGCACAGTCTGCTGTCATGGACCTCTCCACAGTACTAAGGAACTATGACGTCAGTGTAAAGCCTAAGGAGAACCTGATTTAAACCATGGAACCAAGGTCTTTTCAATCACTTCTTATGCATCTGAGAGTTGGACAATGAATAAAGATGATAGAAGAAGAATCAATACCTTTGAGTTGTGATGTTGGAGAAGATTACTGACTATCCTGTAGTTTACCAAAATAACTAATGTTTTGCAGAAAGGGCAGCCAGAGTGCTCTTCAGAGACAAATGTCAAAACTTCATCTCCCATGATTTGAACATGTTGTTAAAGGAGCTTGTTCCTTAGAAAGAGACATCATGATTGGGAAGATAGAGGGTCAGCAAAAGAGAAGAATACCCTAAAAGAGATGGACTGGTACAGTGATTACAGCAATGAATTCAAGCATGTCAGATGATGAGGATGGCACACGATAGGACGGGGTTTAGGTCTGTTATTCTTAGAGTCACTATGAGCCATACTTAATACAGTTGCACCTAACATTATGGCCTAGTAATTTCACTTCTAAATATATATCTAAAAGAGCACTTAGGGTCCACAGAAGAAGAGCCATGGCGAGATTCAGAGCCCCCATAGGCAGGACAATGTCCAGTCCAAGCATGAAGCAGCTAGAGTGGTCATAGCCCAAATCCCTAAAAGATTTAAGGGCTTGATCCTTCCAGTGGTGGAGTGTTAATGATTAGAGACAATGATAATAGGGAGGCAAAAGTTACATCACAGCCAGGAAGCAGGTACTGACAAAGAGAGAATCAGTACTTTCGGTGCCTGAGTGATGTCAGAAGTTGTGGTGACTTTGGTGCATGAATGACATTAGAGAACAGGGATGAAAATGAAAACCACCCACTAAACTTTGGACTCTCCTTAGGCTTGTATATGGGCCCCAGACTAGGCCCGCAGGCCCACCCAGAGAAGGAGGCCATAAATATAGTCTCACCTTAATAGTATACTGCCTGTCCTCCATATTTCTTTTCAAGGAGTAAGGTCTGTGCCTTTGGGGATATAACTTTGTAACAAATCTGTCTTTACTTATTACCTTTTATTAAAAAAACCATAAAAGGACTTGAAAGCAGATTCAGAGACTTTTTTGTCAATATTCATTGCAGCACAGTTCACAAAAGATCAAAACAACCTAAATGTCCATCAAGTGAATAAATAAACAAAATATGGTAAATACATACAATTAGCTAATTAGAGAAATGAAGTCTTGATATACACTACAATATAAATGGTGCAGAAAGATATTAAGTAAAGTAAAATAAGTCATTGTCAAAAGGACAGATATATTAACTCATTTGGAAGCAGGAGTGGCATCCATTTCCTAAACAGCATGCCTCTGGAAATTCTATAAACTTTGATAAATGTTAATAGTTGTGGAGGGGCTTCAGGCCTTTTTTTCCACAGAGTTGTTATGAGTCATGCTCAACTTGAAGGCAATCTACAACAATTATGTATAAGAAAATAGCGAGAAAAGGAAAATGTGTCAAAAAGAGTTTATCAGTCATTACTGAGGTAGAAGGAAAGGGGAAAGAATGATGATGGAGAGATTGCATTGATTAAGGGTAGATTGGTACAACTGATAATTTTAATTAATTTCAATATGTTATAGACCTGTGAAAAGTGGAATTGGCAAAATTTGTGTGATAGATATAATTACAACAGAGACAAAAGAGAGGGAGAAGAGTAGTTGCTGAGACTACCTATGTCTATTAAAAAACCCCAATGGATTGAATTTCTTGGTTAAAGGTTTAGGGTCATTGTCTTTTCTATCTCCTAGTTTTTTGCCTAGTGCTTGGGGTCTAAAAAGCTTGCAAGCAACCATCATAGGTAGAACAATTTGTCTCTATTTGCCTTAAACAACAGAGAAAGAAAATCAGTCAGAAATAGAAAGAGGATATGGAATGTCTGGCTAAATGCTTTCATGAGCAATTAGCTTCTTTGCCATGAGACCAGAAGATGATTTCAAGATACTATTACTGATTTTTAAATCAAAGATTCTATAAGAACAATGCTGATCAAAGGGGTGAGGGTGTGAGAAAAACAGAATTTCAAGTTTTTTTATGAACTCCAGCTTATCTGAAGTAAAAAATGTTGGATGAATCCTTAAAACTCTTGCCCTAAGATAATCTTTTAAGTTTTGAAACAAAAATGCCTCCTGAAGTCTTTGTAAAACCAAAAGATAATTTAGCTTAACAGTTAAAAAAGCTTTGATTGAACATCATGCTTTATAAAATTATCTATATAGACTCAAACTAGCAATGACAACCTGAAAGATTAGCCAGAAAACATGATTTAGAGGCTAGTTAATTTGTTAATGAAAATGAACTTAGAAAGAGAGGGTGAAAATGGTTATACAACCCAAAGAATCTAATCAGTGTCACTAAATGGTACATACAATTTATGATTCATGTTTCATTTGATACATTTAAAGAAATATTTAAATTGATAATTTTTATTGTTTATATCTTCTATAAGAACAACAAAATAGTTTTCAAAACATAAAAGAATATTAAAAATTAACCCTATTTCCCCCCCTTGATTATTTTATTCCCATTAATTCTCATTATTTCATAAATACCTGAGCTTCTGCATGGATGCTTCTGGATATTATCTCATTTTTATTTCTCATAGCTTCTAATATTGATTACAGAGAGATGTATAATTCTTTTAAGTTTGGCCTGAACTTCAATAAAGTGTTCCTATATATACATCATTACCAGTCACATAAATGGCTACATTTTACTATAATGCTTATAGCTAAATGCTTGATTTAAATACTGAAACTTATTACTTTGTATAATTTAATTCTAATTAGCTCATTAATTTGCATTGTGGAAGATACTTAAAAATAATTCAAGTAACAGAATATTGTACTTTTTGGAGAGAATTTGCTCAGTTAATTTCTTTTTGTAGGCCTGCTCTTACATATTTATAATTTATGTCTTTACAGATTTTTGATACAACAAAAAGTTTTACTTTCTCTGTTGAGCAAAGTAATCTTGTGTCCAATATTCAGTCAGCTTCAGCCATGGTCTATGATTATTATGAAAAAGGTAAGTAAGCACATGACAATTAGATCTGATATTCCCATAGTTATTAAATGATCTAACATCACCCACAGTTTCAAGATTAAATAATAGATGTTTTAACTTTTTATGGCTACTAATTTTTCCGCTCCATAATATGTTTTTTGATGTAGACTATTTTGTAGTTACTAGAATTTTTCATGACCTAAAATACTTTTTCATATAATATGTAAGGACTCTACAATTTGAAATATAAACCATGCTAAACTGTCAGATTACATTGGTGGTGGTGGTGGTGATGATGTCAGTAGAATTTACAGTTTCATACCACTTCTGGGTAATTAATTTAAGAAGAGGAGTAGTGAACATTCTGGAAGGTTTTGGAAAGTTTTTATATATTTTATGTCTTAGATTCCAAAGTAATTATTATGAAGTATCTGCATAATGCAAAGGGTTAAGGCACTTGGCTAACTCAAAGGCTGGTGCTTGAAGTCCATCTTTAGGTACCTCCAAAGAAAAGAAACTTATAATCTACTCTTTTAAAAAAATGTCATTCAAAAATCTATAGGGTGCATTCTACTCTGAAACATGTGGGGTTGCCATAATAAGTTACTGGCTCATTGAGAAACAATTTTGGTAAAATTCATAAGAAAAGTCTCTGGAAGGTTAATGATATGAATTCCTTATTGAACACAATTTTCCAAGGATGAATTCTGGATTTATTGTTTACCAAGTGCATTTACTTTATCAGGTACCTAAAATTTTATGAGTATATATCTGAAGTAGTAAAATGTGAGAGAATGAATAACTTTGAAATATTATGAGACAGATTAGACCTAATGAATGTATATTGTCTAGATACTTTAGCATAAAAAAGTGTTCATTTTGACAAAGTAAATAAATAACCAATAGGATTCTTCAGTTATTATTCTTCTTTAGAATGTTTCCATGCATATGCATATTCACATTCATTTTATTTGGAGATCTATTTGTATATGAATATATCCTCTAGTATGTAAAAACATTGTAAGTATAAGTCCTTTGTACCATAATCCAGCTCTACTGTCATGGTGATCTTGTGTCTATGTTTATAATGAATGTAATGCTATAGCCATTTAATTTTTGCATTGATGTATTCAGCAGAATTGTGACACCAGAACATCACAGAATGTGTGTTGTTAGAGGAATAAAAATAAGTAGTTTTTAAAAAATGGAACCTTAATAAACTTTCTCTATTTTTCAGATGAATATGCTTTTGTTTCTTATAACATCCCTATTTCAGTTTCCCAGTGAAACGATACAAAGCGCACACACACACACACTCACAAAAGGTAAGGCTATGTTATACATCTGTAAAAACACTCCTAATAAGAAAAAAAAAATCTAGAACATGATTTCAACCATGATCTTTTCTACTACTTCCTGTACATCTGAAATTTGGACAATGACTAAGGATAGCAGAAGAAGAACTGATGCCTTTGAGTTGTAGTGTTCAAGAATAATACAGAATGTACCACAGACTGCCAAAAGAACAAATAAAATTTGTCTTGGGGAAAGTGCAACCAAGATGTTCCTTGGAGACAAGGATCATGAAACTTGGTTGTACATATTTTGAACATGTTGTTAGGGAAAATCAATCCCTGAATAAGGACATCATTCTTGAAAAAGTGAAGGGTCAGAGAAAGGGAGGAATAACCCCAATACGATGGGTTAACAGAATGACTATCACAACAAACTCAAGTGTATCAGAGACCGTAAGGATGGTAGAAGATAGTGCAAGGTGCAAATCTAAGGATGGTAGTAGATAGTGCAAGGTGCAAATCTATTGTTCAAAAGGTACCTGAGTTTTAGGCAACTCAAAGGCACATAACAGCAACTGGTACATATACTTATGGACTCAAATAGAGCAATATTTGAGGTGCAGGACTGGCCAGTGTTTCTTTCTGTTACGCATATGAGTTGAAATTGACTCAATGGCTCACATTTGTTGTTCAATGTATACCTATACATGTATACAACATGTATATATTATTTGCATATATTTGTGTATGTGTGCATATATAGAGTGTGTGTGTGTGTACATATATTTATTTATTACTTACATTATTTTTTTAATCCCATCTCAGGTATTCAATTTGAACACATTCTTCCACATCAAACCTTGAACAAGTTCTTCCATATCAAACTGGAAAGAAAGAGCCATCTTGTAACTGAAACAGTCTGTAATGTACTGTAACTCCTTGTCACATTTTGTTTCTTTATTGTTCCATTAAATGCTGTAATTATCCATCTGAGTCTAGGAGTTTCTTTTTTTCCTGGTATTTAACTAATAGCTTTTCATTCTACAAAATGTTATTCTTTTTATTCAGTACCTTCTTTGTTAACAACTAAGATAATTTATTGCTGTTGTTAGATATTATATCAATTTTAGAGTACTCCAAATACTGAGACAAAAGATGAGAGACAGATTTAGTATAAGTTGAAAGAACTTCCTGTGAATTCAAAAAAAGAAAATAAGAACAATACAGAAAGATACAACAAAACACAGTTTTCCCAGGGGAAACAATAATTAACTGATGGCTTTATTGAGCAGATGTACAAGATCAAGAGGATAATAGGTTACTTTGGGTTTATTTTTAAAAATCATTTTATTGCTCTAAGCATGCAATTTATTACTGTTAATATTTGATGTTTATCTTTGTCTAAATTAACACTGTTGTTTCAACATGGAATTAATATTGAAAGGAGGTATGATGTGTTGAAAATTAATTTGGAAATGAAAATTACTCTTTCAACTTTAATCCACATTTCTGATTTGAGTCTTTTTTGAGACTTCACTGACTCAATTAGGAATCAATGGAATCCTACAGGGCAGTGGACAATTTCCCCATAGAATTTCCAAGGCTGTAAATCTTTATGAAGAAGACTGGCTCATCTCTCTCCTATAGAGTGGTAGGGGTCAGATTCTCCAGTCTTTTGGTTAGCATCTGAATACCTTAACTATAGTGGCACCAGGTCATTTTTTATAATTCCATGGAGAAGATAAAGGTATTAATTAATACTCCAGTTGTGAGATTAAAGCATTTGAAACAAAGTTTAGAATCTATCAGTATATGCAACCAATATAATATACAGCAATGAATAATAGAAATTAAAAATGCAAAATGTTTAATCATAAGGATTTTATTTTTAGGTTTATTTCTTTTTATAGTCTCCTTGCTCAATGTGTGTTTCAACGAATGCCCAAATTCCAAGATAATTATTAATAAAAAAGCTATTCTTGTCTAGTGTAAGCATTTAAAATGCTTAACTGCTAACAAATAAGATGTATGTATTAGCCTTCCTAGAGGCACCTCAGAAGAGTTCTAAAACTCAGCCATTCAAAACTCTATGGAGCACAGTTCTAGTTTGCACATGTGGAATCACGATAAGTCAGAATCAACTTGATGGCAATCAACAACATTAACACAATGCTTACTTATGGTTTATTGCAGAAGAACATCTGGTATTTGTTCATGTCAGGTGTATTAAGAATGGCTTTGGATCCTTTTATTTCTCCTACTTTACCAAAACCTAGCACATCATAGTGGGATACCACTACCCACACTTGAAAAAAAAACAACAAACCTCAAGGATCCTTGGATGCTTAGGGAGATTCCAGCCAAAGGAAACGTGACTTTTCCAATGCAATGTGCTAAAGGTTCAAGAAGAACAGGAATTTATGTTGAAGTATGTGACATTCCTCATTGGTAGTATTTTTTTCTACTCAAGCAATTTTCAGTTCTTTTTTTACCTGACATGTATTTGTTAGTTAGTCTGACCATGTGAAAAAACAATTTCTCAAGCTGTAATTAAGAAGAAAAGTTATGATGAAATCAGCTGGTTAGTGTACCTTAAGTACCAGGAAAAGCCTTGGCTTTAGCATATATGTTTGTTAAATTGCCCAACGTTACCATAAGCATGGGAGGTGCAAGAGTTTACCATATCTGATACAAGGACCTTGTTGTGGAGCAATTCACTTGTGTAACTTGTCCTTTCACTGGGAAGTCTCACTATTTCCTTTTTTATTTTTTTTAATTTTTATTTTATATTGGTTTGCTTACAAAGTTCATATACATTTGTTTCACACTGTTTTTCTTTTTTGATATTTTTTAATTGTGATTTTAAAAAAAGTTCACAGAAAACTAGATTTTCATTTATTCATTCATTGCTGCACATTTTACCCCTTCTCCTTCCCATCCCCCTTTCCATTCCAAATGTTTTATAAAATTGTTCACCATTGGACTCTTCCCACCATTACCCTATCTGTTCAGGTCCCAATTGAAGCTTTCCAATTTACTTTGCCTAATCCCTCTACCCACCAAATTGTGCAACCATGTGACTTCTCCCCTCTGCTCTCAGTCCTTTCCCCCTTGGGTCCCAATACATGTTTTACTAGTTATCCTTCTATTTTTACAATAATGGTCTTATGCAGTATTTGTCCTAATAAGACTGAGTTAGTTCACTCAGCAAAATGCTTTCCAGTCTCTCACAAGTTATTTAGTATTTTTCAAAATCATTGCTCCTGAGTGCTACATAGTATTCCATCATGTGAACATACCATAATTTCTCAATCCATTTGGTTGTGGTTTGACATTTGGTCTCTTTCCATGTTCTTGCGATGGTGAATAATGCTGCCATGAGCATTGGTGTGTACAAGTTTTCATCATTTGTGCCTCAGTTCTAATTTTCCTTGGGGTATATTCCTAATAGTAGAATACTACTGAGTTATATGGAATTTCTATGTTGAGATTTCTGAGGATTTGCCAAACTATCTTCTAGAATGGTTGTTCCGTTTTACAATCCCTCCAACAGTATATGAGAATTCCCACCTCTCCACATCCTTTCCAACATTTATTGCTTGCTGCCCTACTAAATTTTGCAACTGCTACTGGGGTGAGATAGTGTCTCATTGTGGTTTTGATTTGCATTTTTCTTATTGCCAGTGATTTTGAGCATTTCTTCATGTGTCTGTTGGCAGTCCTAATGTCTTTCTCTGTGAAAATTCTTAGCATGTCTTCGGCCCATTTTATAATTGTGTTATCAGGGTTGTTTTGTCCCACCCACCCCCTGTACAATTTTGTTATGAGACCTCTGTCTGAGATGATATGGCCGAATGTTTTTTCCTTGTAGATAGGTTTTCCTTTCACCCTGTTGGGGGGTGGGGTGGGGGGAATGATGACTACAGAGATATTTTCTTTAGAAAGTCCCTTTCGGTTACAGAATGGAGAGAGTGGGGAAGGCTGCGTCTGGCTCCGTCTGTTCTCACAGCCAATGCAATACAGTGAGCTCCGTAAAGACAGCGGCGGGCCAGGCAGAGCCGGACGGCACTGGGCTAGTCTCTGTGCATCACGGACAAAAAATAACTAACCATGGGCAAAGGAGATCCTAAGAAGCCAAGAGGCAAAATGTCATTATATGCGTTTTTCGTGCAAACCTGCCTAGAGGAGCAGAAGAAGCAGCACCCAGATGCTTCTGTCAACTTACAATTTTCTAAAAGCATTCAGAGAGGTGGAAGACCATGTCTGCTAAAGAGAAAGGTAAATTTGAAGACATGGCAAAGGCAGACAAGGCCCGTTATGAGAGATGAAAACCTATATCCTTCCTAAGGGCGAAACAAAAAGAAGTTCAAAGATCCCAATGTGCCCAAGAGCCCCCCTTCGTCTTTTTTTCTTATTTTGTTCTGAGTATCACCCCCAAATCAAAGGCAAGCACCCTGGCCTTTCCATTGGTGATGTTGCGAAGAAGCTGGGAGATATGTGGAATTAATACTGCTGCCACTGACAAGCAGCCCTATGAGAAGAAGGCTGTTAAGCTGAAGGAGAAGTACGAGAAGGATATTGCTGCATGCAGGGCTAAAGGCAACCCTCATGACGCCAAAAAGGGAGCTGTCAAGGCCGAGAAAAGCAAGAGGAAGAAGGAAGAGCAGGAAATGAAGATGAGGACGAGGAAGATGAATAAGTTGGTTGTAGCACAGGTTTTTGTTCTTGTCTATAAAGCATTTAATCCTCCTGGACACAACTCACTCCTTTTAGAGAAAAAAAAATGACATATAAGGCTGTGTAAGATTTGTTCTTAAACTGTATAGTGTCTTTTTTTTTTTTTGTATGGTTAACACAAGGAAAACGGGGTTGCCTTTATAGTAAAAAAAGTTATTTCTAGATCCATCT